TGGGAGGGGGAGTTGAAGTGGTTCGCGACTGGGAGGTGTTGTAGTTTGTCACGAACCGAGCATAGGTGCTCCACAAAGCGGTCTCCAAGCCTGCATTTCAGAGCACATGTTTGTCATTCCAACTGGCTTGTGTCCCTATCTAGAGAAAGGTCATGGAACCTTGATCTTTATTTCAAAGGGAAGGAAATATAGAAAAGAGGAAGATCTTGCTAAAACTATACAAGGCGTAAGGCAGACCACAGCTGGACACTGAACAGTTTTGGTTCCCTTTTCTAAGGGAAGATATACTGGGATTGGAGGCACTCCAAAGAAGGTTCATCAGGTCAATCCTGGCTATGGAAAGGTTTTCTTAAGGGGAGAGGTTTGAGTAGGTTGGAACCCATCAGACGAGGCAAGCTTATCCCTGTTGTATTCTGTAGCTGAATATCCTGCTAAAACGTGTTGTCCAGTCTGAGGAACAATTAACCTCTTATTTAAATACATATACACTTAACAAAAATCCAATACTTACCAACTGAGCCCCATGTAAAACTAATGGTAAACTTCATATGAATAAAGTTGAACATTCCCAACAAGTATACGCAGATTTTTTTGTATTTCAGGTCTGCTGCTGGTATCTTAATTTGCACAAAATTCTGATAATTTGTCACATGTTCCCTGACTCGCACTGACTCCCAGTCTGAGTACGTCTATTTCAAAGTGATCGTTCTCATTTTCATTTTCAAATCTTTCCATGAACTCTACCTCCCTTGCTGAAACCTCTTTCCACCTTCCAACCCTCCAAAATCATTGCGTTTCTCCAAACCTGGCCTCCTGGACATTCCGACACCATTGGTCTGTAGCTGCCTAGGGTCCCAGCACTCAAACTCTCTCCCTGTCTCCGTTTGGCATTAAGAGGACCCTTCAGACCCTCTTCATGGCAAGTGTTCTGGCACCTAATATTTCCACACATGGCAAAGTCTTAAATAACACAATGTGGAGCTGGAGGAACACAGCAGGCCAGGCAGCATCAGAGGAGCAGGAAAGCTGATGTTTCGAGTCGGGACCCTTCTTCAGAAAAATTTTTGCCTGGCCTGCTGTGTTCCTCTAGCTCCACACTAATTTCTGACTCAGCAGTTCTTACGATCGCAAAGTCTTAAATGTTGCTTAATAACATGCCTGTGAAATAATGTAGGACTATGTTAAAAATGCTTCATTAATGCAAGGTGTTATTGTCTGAGTAAGCATTTGACAGTCAGTTATGACCGATTTTGAATCAGCATCAAACTTCTCTTTGGAAGCTAGTTTTATTTTGTACAGTCCTGCACCAAATTATTGCTCCAATGGTAAGTTAAAACTCCCAAGTAGCACCTCCAAACACAAGTATTTGAACTATAACAGAGCAATGGTATCCCTGCATTAGGATAAAAAATGCAACTGCTGAAAAGTCCAGTATAACACAAAAATCAAGATTTAGAAGATGGACAGAACCAATTTAATAACATACATTAAATTTGTACTTAAGAATCTGTACCCAGGTACCTTTCCGCCTGAGATGGTGCCATAAGTGGCAACTTGTAAACTTTTCACTGTACGTAAAGCCAATTCCAAGATTCCAATTCTAAATTCAAGGAAACAGAGCATTAAAATGTACTTCACGAGACGAAGCAGGAAGTTTTTTTAAAGGCTCAAAACAGCAGAAATCGAATATTCTAGGAGATGCACAGCAGGGCAGTTAGCTTTTGAAAGTGATTGATGAATTAACATTTTGGAAAGGCCTGAAGTTCCACATAAAGCAATCTTTTAGAGACTTACTGACTTATTTCCAGTACTGCTTTTTTTTTTTTTTTAAAAAAAGCTTTTCCCATTTATCTAGACAATAAACCAGGCCAGAAAGGAAAATCTCCTATCTGATCTCTGGTTGGAAAATTGTAATCAGCCACAACACTCTTACACAACAGAGGGGAATTTTAATCAATTATAATACGGTTTGTTTCCAAACACAGGAAAAGAACATGCCTGCAAGGGTGATTGAGGCAGAAATGCTCATAACTTTTTAATATATTTAAGATAAAAGCAAAATACTGTGAATGCTGGGGATCTGAAATAAAAATAGGAAGCACTGGAGAAACCCAGCATAAAATTTTACAGTACAGAATGAAAGCCATTTGGTCCATCATTGTCTGTACTGGCTTCAAGGGGTTACCCTGTACTCAATCTCTATAGCCCTCTAAATTAATCACTTTCAAATACATATCCAGTTCTATTTGAAACCTCCTTTGGAGGCTGCCTCCACCATTGTCAGTGCATTTCAAATCCTAACAACTCTGAATAAAGTAGTTGCTCCTCATCTCACTCCTAGCTCTCTTGCTAACAATCTTAAATCCCGTGATCCCCTAGCTAGTGATATACTAACTAGTGGAATCATTCATAATTTTGAACACCTCGGTAAGTTCACCTCAATCTTTTCTCCAAGGAGAAAAAGTACAATTTGTCCAATATTTCCCTGTATCTAAAATCTCTAAATACCATTCTAGTATCATGCTAGTAAATATCCTTTGAACACTCTCCAGGGTTTTAGCATGCTTCCTTAAATGAGGTGCTCAGAACTGAACACAACACTCCAAACGTGGTCTGACCAATGATTTGTAGAGGTGTAACATCACTTCCTTGCTTTTATACTTTATGCCTCTATTTGTAAATCCAAGGATCCTATGAGCAAGCTTTCTTAACAACTGTTGCTATTTGGCTGGCCACCTACAGAAAATTATGCACTTGAACTCTGAAATCCCTCTGCACCTGGTCCTCCCCTCAAAGTTGTACCATTGAACTTGTATTGTCTCGTCATGTTTCTTCCACCAAAATGCACATTCTCACATTTCTCTGCAATGAAATTCATCTGCCACATGTCTGCCGATCTGGCCAACTTATCAATATCCCTTAAGTCGCTCAGCATCATCTTCTCAGTTCTCCCTAGCGTAATATCATCTGCAAATATAGACATTTTGCCTATACCTAATTTCTGGTTCCTATCTTTCTTTCTTTGTGAACAGGACAATCTTGTAAAAAGTTGATCCTAGTTTTCCAGAGATCAATACCCAAGAATTTCAGAACCAAAGTGCAATTCTGCAGCTATTATTCACAGATTGCTTGCAATTAAATGCATAAAACACATTCATTTGATAAAATTCCGTTATTTATTCAGATTAATGATCAGATTAGGAATGACAACCAGATTGTGATTATTAGTTACTTACCAGTATTACTTTGATCCATTAATTTAGTTAAGAACAGGATCTTTTCTTCCATTTCCATAAGCCCAAATCAGACATTTGTCATTGTGCAATAAAATGTTACCCAAGTACCTTGACCCTCTGATCTTTGGCCTGAAAAATTGTTTTAAAAAATTTACTTGGCTACTAAATTGTTGAAATTGGTAAGGAAATACAGCAGTTAATTTACACACAAGAAGCCACAGACGAGATGATTAAAAATTACTTGATAATCTGTTTTTGACCACTGGACCTATAAAAACTCTCCCGTTTTTCCACAGTGCTGTGGGATCTTTTATGACTCTCCTAAGGACAAGTAGTCGTCAGTTCAACATCTCACTCCAATGACAGTATCTAGGGCAGTGCAGACTACCTCTAGCATGGTCAGCCTCACCTTTGCATTCAGGTCTTTGGGGTGGGGCTTGAACTCTCAATCTTGTGACTCAGAATTGTCCACTTTTGTCAACAAATATTTTCTGATCAATCCATGCAGATCCTATTATACATGTCTGGAGTAGGTGCGACTTGAATCTGGACCTCCTGGTTCAAACATATGGACACTGACTCCATTGAACATCCTTCTATTATCACATTTCAAGCAGGAGAAGGATTGGCAATGTAGCATTGCTCTGAAGGATAAAAAGCCACAAAAACATTTTCTAAACACTGGTAGATGAATGGGAAAATGTAGATAACAGCACTTTTATAAAAATCAAGATATAAATTACACAGTAATTTTATCATTTATGGGTTACCAACCCAGCATTTATTGTCCATTACATATTATCTTCAAGAAGGTGCTGTGTGCCAGTCTCTTGTACCACTGTAGATCCCAAGCCATAAGGGAAGGAGCTCCAAATACTTGACCCAGTGATGGAAATGTATTGCTGTTTCTTCACAAAGTCAGGGTGGTACATGGGATTATCCAAAAACAGGAGGTCATTCAGACTGTTGGGCTGTTCCACCATTCAATTGGATTATGGCTGATCTGTGGCCTAACTCCACATACCTGCCTTTGGCCCAAATCCCTTAATACCTTTGCTGAACAAAAAATAATGTCTCTCAGATTTAAAGTTAACAGCTGATGGAGCATCCTCTGCCATTTGTGGAACAGAGCTCCAAACAACTATCAGAGTGTGTAGAAGTGCTTTGTAACAGCTCTCGAACGGTCTGGCCCTAATTCTCAGACTCTGCCCCCTCGTTCTAGATCCCTAACCAGTGGAAATAGTTTATCTTTATGTAATTGTCTTTTCCTGTTAATATTTTGAAGACTTCGATTAGATCACCCCTGAACCTTCTAAATTGTTGAGAAAACAGGCCAAAATGTTATAATCTGTCCATATAACTTAATCTCTGAAGTCCAGGTAACACTCTTGTAAAACTATGCTGTACTCCCAAGGCCAACACATCCTTCCTAAGGTGGGTTGCATGGTTGGAAGGGAATTTACAGGTGGTGATGCAGCCAAGCACTTGATGCCCTATGCCAGAGTTTGAGTGTTCACAAGGTTATTGCAGAAACCTTGGCGAGTTGCTGCTGTGCAACTTGTCACTGGTATGCATTGCACTCAGTGGGCCAGTGGTAGAGTGAATAACAGCTTAAGGTGCTGCAATGGGATGCCAATCAAGGAGGACTGTCTTCCTGGATGGTGTCAAACTTCTTCACTGCAGTAATAAGAAATCCAGTAATAGAAAGTTGCACACATTGGAGAAAATACTGAACAGACTAAAAGCACGACGGCAGACATTAAAAACAGTACAAGTGTGTTACTTTTATTGAACACATTATATCTTGGCCAAGTCTAGAAACAGTCCCAGAATTTAACAGTCATCTTGCTGGAGGTAACAGTCCCAACAGTGCCATTTTCAGTAAGGCAGCTCTACCAATACAATCTTTCATAGAACTCAAAAGGTGCAAATGTGTTGAAATGGCTCATAGACATTTTACAGCGTCATTTAAAAATAAAAACTCACATTTTCACAAACCTGCAGCAGGTCAGGCTAATCTCAACAAATTCTCCTTTTTGCATACTGATCCACCCTTTTCATCTGTAGCTGAGAGAAGGGTTCAGGAACATGAAACATTCTTTCAAATCTTGAAAAATTTGTTAAGACAAGTTCGAGGTCTTATGTTTATTGTGGTGCAGAATGGTTTCTGCAGTTGTGTCACAGTTAAAAGTATGATTTTGTGTTTGGTTGTTCTGCTTTACAGATGTGAAAAAGGCAAAGTAGAGCAAAGGAAAAGAATGAGCATTAGTACTTAGAAACGTATCTGTCAAGGAATTCAATCAAAACGGAATGCTTTTCCTTGTTGCAGTCTACAAAGAGAACTTGCATTTATTCGGCACTTTTCATGGTCTCAAGATGCCCCAAAATCCTTTACAACCAAGTACTTTCAAAGTCTAGCCACCTCAGAAAAGAAAGGGCTTTGGTTTAACATCTCATCTAAAAGATGACATCCCTGACTGCAACTTTTCCTCAGTCCTGGACTGTCAAAGGTGACAAGTGACCTTAAAATGCAAAACTTGGGTGCAAAGTTTAGATTAAATTTCCTGTTGTATTGCTCAGTGAGTTTGAGATTTCCATTGCTGTGGCAGGTGGAGCCTGGTGTTGGAGGAGGGGACAGCAAGAATGTGCAAAGAACACACACAAATGCTCTCAAAGCAAGCCTGTGCAAAATGTTCTCACAGAAGTATGCTTTTAATTGATTTCTGAAAAAAATTAAGGTAATTTTGTTTTTGGTGTGATGAATATGCTTTTCTATAGATTTATTACTACAGACCTGGAGTGTAGTTTGTATTACATGAGGTGAAAGATAAACTGACTTATTCAATGTCGATGGTTTTCCAACTAAACAGTTGGATTGTTGAGATGGACTGGGACACACAAAATTGAATTTCTAGATTTATTATAATAAATGTCCTGTTTCAATTTGGAGAGGTTTGACAAAAGTCTTTGTATTTAAAGAGTTCAGCTTTGTCTTGATCCAAACAATGACAAGATTGCAAATTGTCAGTTTTTCCTTCAACCAGCTTTTGTGAAGGATCCCCTCACAATCTTCAAGCATTGAGAGGTAATTCAGCTTTCAAGATGGTTTCTTTAAAGATATAGGACATTACTTGCTTTCTGAAAGTATTTTTTTTTTTTTACACAATGCCATTTCTCCCATTGCTCACCCTGGGAGATTACATAGGTGAGGAAGGCTGGATGTTTGGTCTAACCCAAGTTGGTTGAACACAGACATAACATTTATGTTATCTTTAGTGTTCCTGGCTTCAAGTTGTGAAGGTTAATAGGCAGAGAGATAAATAAATCAGCCAGAATGCCTTCTGCACTTCATTGGTACAAATGGCGGTACTATAGGTAGGAACAAGGATTGGGTTGAGGCCTTTCATTCCCACACTGGCCAGCCTTCAATATGCAGGCTCACATATTGAAAGAAGCATTGCATGGGAAGATATGGAATTGTTACAAACACGGAAAAGAATTGCAGCCAACAGGAATAAGCTGTCTGGAGGATCAGGTAGAGGAGGAAGGGGAAAAAAAAATTACAAAAGAATAAAGTGATTCAACAGCAAACCAACCAAACATTACAAAATCTTAAACTGTAAATGCTTGCATTTCACAACATTTCTTGTGCTCACCATACCAAGTCCTGTTTATTCAGCAGGTCTAGAGAGATTTCTTCACTTTGTTCCTCTCGTGAATTCCCCTGTTCAGATGGATTTGAGAACCGGGTCTCAAGCAGATTCAGGGTTACAATTTCAAGCTTCCATACCAAGATGGTACAACTCTTGGAACAGTTTTAACAAACCCCTTCATTCCGCCACTACAGACAGGGAACACCAATTATTTTCTTACATCTACAGTACTTACAAAATTTGCAAATCAATAACATTTGAGATTCTCATTCTAGAAGTCAAAAGCATTTCTAGACTGCATTTTTAAAATAAAAAAATGTTAAGATAATCACTGCACAAAAAAAGTTTGAGAGAAAAACATTTCACAAATTAGTGATCAATATTTGAGAGCAAAACGCAGAGACTGCTGCCTGCAAACATTCACAGTAGGGATTCCAACAGTGAGGAACATGGTCAGAAATCAATGAGCCAAAATCAGCAAGCCAGTTATGGATTTTTGGGAGGGGGGAAAGATAATTACCAGTTCTTGTAAAAACAGACTTTATTCCTTAATGTTGAATCAAACACTATCACAAGTTTTCATTCGCAATATTGGCAACTGTTCTCATCTGCCAACAGGAACATAACTGTTGCCAGTTGGAAAATAAAGAAGAATGCAGGCAACCGACTCCAGATTTTACTGGTTAGCATTATCCAGAATTGCTGGCCTACAAAATTAGAACTTTTTAGAATGGTTTTAAGATTAATATCTAACATGTATACAGGGGACTTAATTAACAATTAGTCACCTTTATTTTGTAATTTCAATTTAATAAGAAAAAAGTACTTTTATTAAACATGAGAGTAGCTGGCATTCGTCTTGATATCGAGCAGGAGAAGCCTTAAAAATAAGGTGCACAGGTTAGCACCTCTTCAGACAATCCAAGGAGGGATTTGATAAATGATTGAGAATATTAGACAGATAACATAATATGTCTCAAAAGCATGGAAAAAAAAGAACTTTGTGCATATATGAAAGTGTGTCACAACCACAAAATTACCAGTTGTAAATTCTACTAAAGAAATCAGAAAACAAAAAAGAGGGACAGTTTGGGGATCTACACATTAAAACCTGCAAATCTGTAACAACTTGAGAACATATCTCGACAACATGTTCAATGGTCTGGTTACCTGACCATTAGATACTCCAATAATTCAGGCGATACATACCCCATTTCCCAATTTCTGATATCCTCCAGTGAAGTCTTCAGGAATTGCAAAGATGTCCCTTTTAGCTTCTTCCCCTCAATTCTTTCATGTCAGGAATTTTTTTAAACTTTGAAGCTTACCGTTTTACATTTCGTCCCTGATTACAGCAATCTCTGACTAGTGCAATTTACACACACACTGCACTTTACTGAAGAGCATTTTGACAAAGAATTATTTTAGTTCTTTTCAAAGTTCAAGGATTCAAGAGTCTTTTAAAACCCTCATGTCAAAAGGATGCTAAATTTACAATTGCAGCTACCACAGTTCAAATGGTTGCTTTTCATAATCAGTGTATTGATACCGTTCGTATAATTGCCCATGTGAAGGTTGACATTACAAAACTACTCCAGAATAACAGCCTGGAATATTAAAAATATTAAAAATACAATTTCTGATTTAACTACAACTTATAATTCAAGTTTGCCAAGTTCCACTGGTTGTTTGCCTGTCTTTGACATTTTGAAATGATCATATATACTGATTATGAATCAAATGACTGCACTCACAACACAAACGTTGAAGGTGAGCAGTGCTTCTGTTACAGGGGTTTTTTTTGCATACAGGGAAAATTTTCACACGTGGGCTGCATAAACTGCCATCTCTTTACCACCTCAATCAGATCACTTGCCAAAGTTTCAATAAAACACAAGTCTGCTTGCCTTAAGCAGAAGGAGGCATGTTCATAAAGTAACCTTGTCCAAAAGGGGTTAATTCACAACTTAACTGAATGCTTTTCAAATGATTTCTGGAAATAATTAAGCCTGAAGGGGACAATTATGGAACCAAAATAATCTCAGCATGAAGACAGCCACAACAAACTAAAAACAAATCTCTTCTATAGCAGTTTGTCTTTTTCAGAACTCTCTGAATGGGGTCAATACTTTTGTTATCACTGCATTTTTCAGTAGTGAAATTCTTCAAAATTAACTAAAATCATTTTGAGGCAAAAAGATTAACAACTTTTTTTTTACAAATTAGTGTCTACAATTATGAAAATCACTCAGTTGATCCTATGGCTAGCCAATTAACATTTTAGTGTTTAAGGTAAGGTGCTAGTCAGCCTCTTGCTCCCATGGTTACCACAGAGCATATAAAATAGTAATTTTAATTTGTAGTTACTGGAACTTACACTGGAGATTATTTAAATGCAAATGACTTGCTCCTGCAATTGAAAGTTATTCCTTTACCATTACATTGGATGTCATGGTTTGCAAATACTAAGCAATAAAACATCATTTTTTAAAATACAGTGTCTGTACTTATGGAAACTTTGAAGGGAATATAACCAGATTTTGCTTAATTTCTTCAATATTAAACTTTAAACATTCCCAACAACAAATTACAACTTCTGACAATATACTTGGTGGTTTCAGGGGGACTAGGCTGCCCTCATCAGGTCAGCAATTCCACTGTCTGAAACATGCATTTGCTGTGCTGGGATGGTGGTGTGTGCTGACCTGCAGGATGCTGAAGAGAATACACAGGAGGAAGGGAGGAGAAAGAAAAAAAAGGAACAACATTGCTAGAACACTTAAATAGGACAGCATGAGGTGTGTCAGTACACAACTGAAAGGAATGTGCTGTCATTTTGTTATTGTAATCACCAAACTGCTTTTTTTTTTGGGTGGGGAAGAAGCAAGAGGCCAATAAGTTAAAATAGAGTTAAAGTAGAACAGACAGGAAGGAAGATTTACCCTGTCACCCTGTGGTTTTAATATTCTATTAGAAGTGGCATCCATAGCGACCGGATAATATCTGCAAGGAAAGGCGGAAAAAGTGGTTTCCTTTTGTGCCATTAATACATAGCATCAGAATTACATGGGATCCATTGTGCAGGATGCAACAAAATCCATTTTTAGTCCCAATTATTCAAAACATGCCAGTCTGTAAAGACATTCAATCAGGTAAAAGCTGAACATCCTCATCCCACAAATTAAGAGTGCAGTTATGTACACAGTTCCCTCTGGTATATCCTCTCCAAATCACTTGAATGGATGGAAGCTCAGTATCAAGAATAACGAAGGTCGATGCCTGTATTTATCCACTGACTTTTCAGCAGAACATTTTACGCTGATAAAGTGTCTATAGTACTTTACACATCACAATCAAATGGTAGTCAGACAAAATACGGTTGTGGTGATTCACAAGATGAACACCAACTTGGCTTCAAAACCAAGGAGAACCAAAAAGTACTGGACAACACAATTGAACCAGCAACAGGACAGGAAGTTGTCAATACATTCCTGCTTCCTCAGCTCCCAATCTGAATAAACTTGGGGAGAGAAGTGAACTAGAGGCTTCAGTAACTTCTGAAACGATCGAATGAGGATGAGAAAACCCAAGGCGGAATTTTTATCAGTGCCTATTAGACACACAAGCTACTGTCCGCAACCTGGAAGAACAACAAATTTCAGCAAGGTCTTTCTTGAGCAGAGAGCAACTAATTGCATTTTCCAAGAGGGTTCCAAGCATGGAGACGAGATTCCCACTAGGTAGTGGTGAGATGCCTATTAATGGGGAACATTGCTTGTTTCACCGTCATTAACTGCACATCTGGCCTCATTAATATGCAGTTCACTATCATATAGCCCGCCATGACTAAACTAAAGAGGGTAGCACTCTGGTTGCTCCTCCAGACAGCCAGTTTGGACACCTGACATCAACATTTCAGGGTTTGCTCCATGGGCTGATCACACCCCATACATCCAGTGGTGTCCGATAGCTGTCAAGCCCAGATTTACAGTAGATTTTTCCACTTTAAAGCTGCACTGTGTGGTGCTCCAAAGACACTTTTGCATGCAAGGAAAAGCACCAAACTCAGGCTGGACCGGGACATGAACTGAAGATGGGGACAAGAATGATAAGGGAGTGGAAGCCTGAGGCATAAGGCGTTAGCTGGTACAGAATGGAAGATTATAGGTGAGGTGTTGGTGGTAATATGCAGTAATTGCCACCATGGCCTACATGGAGAGAGCAGACACCACCACAGTGAGCATCAAACTGTAACATTGCGGCCAAGGAGACGCAAGGAAAAACTGAAGATGGAGTCCAATGTGGTAGATGTCCACATGGGGCAGGGTGTGCATATTCACATGTATGGGTGAAAGAACAGAATCACTAGAAACAGATTGACAAGGTGCTGCAAGATAAAACAATGCCTGGAAGTTCTATTGTGGGGGTGGGGGTATACCTGACAACACCAGGCCGAACCTGGTGGTGAGGGTATCCACCATGAGCTGAGTTTGTTATCACCACCTTCCAATTAGCAGAAGTGATCTGCAACTGGAAAATGCTAAAGACAACGCCTAGCATGGGCAGAGTCTGTGTCAACTTGGACGAAGGTCACTGAAGGGGTAATTGCATCAATTATGCTCTTGCAGCTTCATATCATTTATAATCATATCATTGTGCATGGGATTTGCATACAGTGCACATATGGTGCAAATGCTAGTCACAAGCGACATCCACCAAGTCACTGGGCCTCAAAGGGGCAGATATTTCAATGGAGTAAATCACAACTGACTTGGAGGCTGATATGGGTCACAGACAAAAACCAACAATTCTCGTGCAACTTAAGGAAGCCATTTGGCAGGTAACAATTCCTCTCCATCTGCACTAAGTATTATGACAGGATTTTGCACGCAATCTTAACTTCCACAGTTGATATGGAACTGGAATGCCAAGAATTCAGAAGTCATGGAGCATTCCCACTATACTGCTGTGTGTTTGTTACTCAGCCAGTGGAGTTCCTCGACCAAGCAAGCGCCTATCTCAAAGAGCTGCGATAACTCAATATATGGCCCTCCTCATCCAGGCGCTGCACTGTCCTTTTGTATGAAGGAATGCGGGCAGCCATCATCTGCAGGGTATGCCAGCATCGACTCTTCTCAGAGCTAAGAGCTTAAGCTGCTCCTAATCTGCCAACACAGGTCAGTGCCAGCAATGGTGATGAATCCAGCCACAGATGGTATGCTTGTCACGGTGGTTGTCCTGCTACGATGCCAAAGACAGATAGAGGAGAGGCAGATGCAACAGCCAGCCGAGGAGCAGCAGCAAGCCACAGCAGAGGGTGATAAGACTGCACCACAGGTAAATGTCTCAGCTGCAGGTCTCTTAAGATGCAATGAGAACACAGGATGGCCAGTGTCTTTCATCCTCAAAGCCAATTCCTTGGGACAAGTGAGGTACAGTGTCAACATAGATTGTGCACAGCCCAGGGTACTGTTACTGAAATGTGTCACTTACTGGATTAGGACCTGAAAACTGAAGGAGTGGGTTGGGGGTGGGAGCTGTGCTCTCTTGGTGGTTGTGAAGAATGACAACTGCAGTGAACTTGTGTGACTGGCTCCTTCCAGAGTGCCACAGGAGTCCTGTATGTAATCACTCCATTGTTCACATACATATGCATCAAGTGATCAATGCCAAGATTGCACTGGTTCATTTTATTACCCCCATAACAATGTCAGTGCTAAAGCACGGGCAGGATTTGGCAGCTTGGCTAGCTTAGCCCAGGTGCAGGCACCACTGACTGCACACATGTTACACTGAAACGGCCATTTCATAACGCAGTGGACTTCATCAATAGGAATAGAACCTCTTCTATTAATCTGCAAGTGATCAGTGATCACCATTACCAGTTCTTGGTGAAGCGTACCCAATACCCTGGTAGCACCCAGGACTCCTATATCCTGTAACATTTTCATGCTCCTGCCATGTTTGAAGGTCCAGATACCTTAAAAGCCTGGTTACTGGGTTACCCACCGCAAATGTGACTAATGTCACTTCTTTGGAACACTTCAATTGATGCAGAGCACAGTTAAAATCCCACCTATGCTTCAACTACGAATGTGGCGGCCAGGGCTGCTGATACACATTTCTGTTGTGGGACAAACTTTGGGGCAGGGGTGAAAGGGCTGAAATGTACTTCGGACAGTGCGCATTGCATCATCATAGCATGCTGTGCTATGCATATTTGGAGCAGGAAAACTGGGGACGTTTGTAATGTTGAGGAGCTGGGAAAATGGGAGCAGCTTTCTCTGGAGGAGAATAAGGACATTTAGAAGGTGGAGGCTCACCTTGCACATGACAGAGGTCAGCTGTGTTGAGCCAGACAGGATTGGACCGACACACAAGTTCTAGTAGTCGAGGGCTAAGTGTATCTAACAATCATTGACCAATCATTTGTATTTTGGGGGTAAAATGCTGCCTGTTGATTGTAAGCAGAAGATAACCTTTGGCATCGTTTGAATGCTGCTGTCATGTGATGGCCTGATACTAGACAATGAAGAAATGCTAATTTTCAGTGAGCTTTTGGGGACACAGTAGCAGTGACTTTGATAGGGCAGTAAGATGGGACATTGCTGAGAACTGGCAAGTTGTGTGGCCTGAGTCAACAAAGGAGAGTTGTATGTGCAAGTATCAGCCATGTGCCATGAACAGCGTGGGTTCATGTACAGCTCCATAGTGCTAATACGTGACTCGGTTTGGCCAGGGTTGTAAGATGGCACCACGGATGCCAGTCTATTCCAGGATATCTGGACAGTGGTGAATTCTTCTGCTACAGCAAGTGGGGGCTAGCATCAGGCACGAGACTTGCCATGGGGCAGGGTGGATTGTTAATGAGGTAGCTTTGGGACACCAGCACAAGAAAATGCACTAAGTCCTGCAGACAGAAATCCCCTAGGAAGCCATAAAAATACGAGTCAGCCTTGAAATGTATTTTAGTTTGATCATAGCTATCGAGTCCCGAACAGAGTCAACAAACATGGGCAGTATAAGTATCAATAGCTAACCATTTACCTTCCGAACAGAAGTTTTTGCAGATTAAATAATAAGGAGAGATCACCCCAGTGTTAAAATGGGTAGTTTTTCTTTAAAATAAAGGAAACAAGCACTGACTACATGTAGGAAAAAGTTAATGAATCTACTACAGAAAGGGATAGGGCGAAAGAAAATTATACATTCCATGATTTTATTCAGTAACCAGCACATGAATTGGAAAGAGATAGGATAATCGTAAGACAATGCACCAATGGCAGAAGAGTCAGCATTCTGAAGGTGTATTTCAGACAATGATATCACTGTTATTCACTCTAAGGAAGTGTTCCTATTTTAGTAATGCAGATAGAAGTCTAGTTACTGCTTAATCAACTTGGCAACTCCTCCTTAAAAATAAAATGTAGGAAAATATTAACTATATTAGAGGACGCACAATTGATCAGAATTATTTGATAACCTTCTAGCATGTACGATAAAGTGCATCGTTACAGTGTATCTCAAAATGTTCAAGTTGCAAAGGTTATACGGCCAAGCTGTTGAATGGCACTTTTGACTTCTATTTAAAAATGACTTAATCGGTCAAGGGAATGATCAGTTTGGTCAGAAGAAAAACAAAAATATTTTCTGCAAAGTGCATTTAGCTAACAGTCTTATTAACAGCACTGTTTTTATACCAGTGCTGCTCAAACAAAGTAGGAACTATTTGGAAAATTCACATACTAGTGAACAAATCTGTATTATACATAAATACTGTTAAGTCACTTAAATACTATGGGTATCTTTTACACATTCACAAAAATAATCAGCTCAAATAGGATGGGATTTTTCTTTCCAAAGAGGGAATAAATCAAATATCTAAGGCACATGGTTTTGCATGTTTACAATCTATGAAATATTTTATGATAATCTACATCTTAAGCATGATCAGTCTAGTCACAGCATGCAAACACCCTTGGTCACACATTCTTCACTCATTTTAAGATTTTGATTGAACCTTTCTCACCTCAACCCCCCATCACCGCATTAAATACTTCTTACTTCATCAAACCAGGGGAGGTTTAAAGTCCAAGCTGCTTTCCTGAAACTGCTGCCCTCTGACCTGTAAAATGCCCAAAACATTCCCAGCATACATGAGCAGAACACTTTCATGACTTCTTACCAGCTGAAAGACAAGTTCTTGCGTCATAATCACTTATGACATCAGTTTTTATATTTATATATGTCTGAAAAAATGTCAGATTATTCTAAATATCAAATTCTAGCTAGATAAGCGATCACACACTGGAGCAGTTTACTTGGCCATGGCGACATGAGAAGAGGAGAACTGATGTCCAGATTGACCAGGATGAGAACATAATTTTGTTTTCTCTAAAAATTATACACTTTCCAATCCCATTTTTCACCACAGTTAGTGTGTTTTTCTATGTGGCAGTCAGTTCCATTTTAAGAGTTTGTTAATGGACCAACAGTGCTAAAATGATCTGGACACTGTTTACCAGCTTGAAAGGCAACTTCCAAATTACTCCAGTTGCTCCTCGTTTGGGCCTTTCAAAGGGCAGAGAGACTGCAAATTCTGTTGTCTTCTCATCAAGACAAGTTGAACTGGAAAGATCTGTTTCAGTGTTATAAAGGCGTCTTCATTTCTTCACGGCATACCGTATACAGATGGAATAAAACTTATGTCTTCAGGCAACAGGTACAGGTCAGTGGCTTAAATAACACTGCCAAATGTTGAGAGGGTTAGTATGCATGCAAGCCATTTCAAATAACAAGATGCGCTTCCTTCTGACCACAGTGGAAATCTTCACAAGGTCCCTGCATACGTTCCATCCAGTTTCCTCATGGGTGTTTCAGATCTATTGTTAGAGGAAGTGTCCTCTTGATCAAAAGTGTGGACTGTGTTGGGTGTGTCTGGGGGCAAAATATTAGCGCCAGCAGCTTCTCTTATTACCGACTCCACCATTTCATTCTGTTCACATGACTGCTCAGATTTGGGGGACTCCATGTCTATGCTCACAGGGTTTGCTCTTTCTCCAAGTACAGTCCCAGAATCATTTCTCTTCTCAGTTTGACTACTTTGCTCAAATGTTGACCCAGTTCCATAGAGCTCCGGGTCCAAGCTGCTTCCACCACTTGCATCTCCAATAACGGTGCGATATACTTCCATCCCATCAGGCAGCATCGATTTGATCTTGGGAAGCCAACGCTTGCGAACCCGTCGAGCATTAGTGCACATGTCAGCTGCAATCACATTCATCTCACTTTCTTTGAAGTTGGGAGCAAAATTCTGACAATATACTGTAAAAACAGATGAAAGCAAAAATTAAACACTGAGCAAAATAGTATAATCTGTTATTCCACCACAGAGAACCTGTTGCATTTAACAAAACGTCGAGCACTAAAGCTCACAGGAATCAAAAGTTATGATTAAATAACCAATGTCATCTGACAATTTATGCAAATGATAAAACTGCTTCAATTCTTGTGAAAGCACAAAGAAAAATTTTAATTTATCATACTTTTTGCAACCGCCAAGTATTCCAAGGTTTCACAATCAATCAGTGAAGTACATTTCAAAATGCAGTTTTCAAATTGCTAAAAAGTGTAGGAAATGCAGCAGTCGATTTGCACACAATACTACAAATAGAAATATTGCAGAAATCAGATAATCTGTTTCAATGATGTTGGTTGAGGGATAACTATTGTTCAGGACACTGGAGGGAAATTTGAAATACAGTGACATGTCCAACTGGCGAGGAAGATAGGAGCCTCAATTTACCATGTCATTTGAAAGACGACTGCTTAGAACAGTGCAGCACTCCCTCAGTACAATGCTGAATTATAAGACAAGACTCTATCCAAATTTGTGAAGAGGGATTTGAACACACATCCTTTCAACACAGAGGAATTAATGTTGTCAGCTGGTAAAGGAATTTCAGTCTAAAAACGCTTGATAAATACGAATATGTAAAACAGGCAAAGTAAATTATTTGAGCCCTTGAGCTTGCTTCACCATTCAGTAATATCATGACTTTTCTGTTTGTGTTTTGAATTTTACATTCCCATCTAACTTTAATAACCTTTGATTTCCCTACCTAACTAGGATCCATATACCTCTGCCTTAAAAACATTTAACGGCCCCACTTCTGCGGCAGAAAATTTCAAGGTCATACAACTTTTAGAGAAAATAATTCCCATCTCAGTCCTAAAAGAACATTTAATTCTAAAACAACACTTCCTAGTTATCAACTGACTCACAAGGAACTTCCTTTCCATTTCTACCTTGTCAAGGCCAATTCAGAACATTAGACACTTCAATCAAGTCAACCCTCACTCTTCTAAATTCCAGTGGAACAAGCCTAACCTGTCCAATATTTTCTCAAGCAGGGTCTAGGCCTGAAACGTCAGCTTTCCTGCTCCTCTGATGCTGCTTGGCCTGCTGTGTTCATCCAGCTCTACACCTTGTTATCTCTGTCCACTCATTCTAGGTGTCAATCTAGTAAACCTCCTTTGAACCTTCTATGAATTTACATTGTTCCTTAAATAATTTCAATTCCTCTCATAATAAAAAGGAAAGCATTCCAATAACCTTCTTGAATTGTATAGTACCTAACATTTTGTGAATCAATCAGACGTTAGAACATGCAAATCCCTCTGCACCTCAGAATTTTGCAGTTGCTTCCCTTTATGTAATACTCTGCTGTTTTATTCTCCTGTCAAAGAGAACAACTTCATGTTTTCCCACATTATATTCCATCATAAAGCTAAGACCTTGCAGTTATATAACACTTTTCATGAAAATCTCTTCACAGCTGACAGAATACTCTTTGAAGGGCAATCACTATTGTAATGTAGGAAAGAAAGCAGCTAATTTGTGCATAAGCAAACTCCCACAAACAGCTTTGTGATCGTGACTGAGGTACAATAGTACACATGGGCCAGGACACCAGGGATAACCTTGCACTCCTCTTCAAAATATTGTCATAGGATCTTTTACATTGACCAAACAGGCAGACTGATAGAGATTAATGTCTCATCTGAAAGAAGACACTTACAATAGTGGTGTGCCCTCACCACTACACTGGAGCATTAGCCTTGATTCTTGTGCTCAAGCCCTAGAGTGAGACGACTAGAACGCAGAACTTTATGGCTCAGATGTGGCTGTGCTATGAATGAAGCTTCAGTTGACACAGGTCAAAACATATGTATTCCCCAAAACGTTTCAAAGACTTCCACTTAGGGGCAGGCACAAAGGTACCACAATAACCTTGGTACCACAACTGTTCATTTTCCACTGGTTGGAGATTCCAGACTAAGGGGCATAAGTCTACAAATTACAGCCAAACTGTGCGGGAGAGAAGTTAGGAAGCATTTCTACACACAAAAAGGTGGTAGAGATTTGTGACTCTTCCATAAGTTGCTGCTCAGTTGTTAATTTTAAATCAGATTTTTTTTTCAAGCACAGGTATTCAGGGATATGGGCCAAAGGCAGGTTTGGACCATGGATCAGACATTATCTCACTGAATGGTAGAACAGGAGAGAGACTGAATGGCCTACTCCTGTTCCTATCACTGTGCATACATAACCAGTCACATTAGCAAGAAACTTCCAATTACTTTTAAATCTGTGCAGTTCCTTATCCTGCATGCTATTCCAGTTGCTTTGCAATGCAGAATTTGCCAGCTCAGCATTCTGACCTCACTGCAGCAATAGAATGAACGACAGAACTAGGAAAGACAAAACCAGAAGCATTCACTACTTTTTAAAGGCCAAACTATGATTCAGGAGAGAGATATGAGTTTATTTAAAAAAAAAAACAAACAAACAATCACAAATTGTGCTTGTTGGGAATTGGCACATTGCAATATTTCATTCCCAACTTCTATCAGAGTATTTTCTGATTGGACATTATCATTCCGTACTTAAGCATTTTCTGCTAACAGTATTACATTCAAACAAACTGAACTCATTACTCCCACAAGAAGAATTTCTAGTTGCACTCGATTCAAATTCCAGTATAATATAGTTAATATATATTAAAATCATTTTTTCCACTGAATGGCATGGCATCCTTTTTAAGGGACTTTCTCCTAGTTCGCCAACTGGTGATGGTAGCCACAGTAGATATGCAAGAATTACCCTAATTTTAGTCAGCCCCAGGATTGCAACACTGTCCTGCCAAATACCCATACCCTACTCACCATAAACTCAGCTCATCTAAAAGTCTGTTACCCACATCCTGACCAGATCAATCAAAATGCTATTTTTTAATCACTACTATCAAATCCTGCCTGGCCAACATTGGATTCATGTCCCCTGTCTCTTCAAATTTAAAAACATTAGTCTGATGTTTAAAATTTCTCCCCAGACTTCACCCTTCGCAGCCACTGCAATCTTCTTTACATTTACAAACTCCTCTCCAAATTCTTTGATGGGATTGCTTTTTTTAATTTGTCATGGGATGTGGATGTTGCTGGCCAGGTGAGCATTCTTTGCTCACCCCTGATTACCCTGGAGTTGCAATGATGAGCTGCCTTCTTATACTGATACAGTTTGTGGAGTGTAGGAAAAGGGAGTTCTCAGATTTTGATACAACTACTATGAAGAAATGACAATATACTTTATAGTCAGGATGGTGTGTGGTTTGCAGAGGAACATGGAGATGGTGGTACCCATGCATCTGCAGCCCTTGCCCTTCTACAGGTAAAGGTTATTGGCTTGGGACATGGTGTCTAGTTACTGCTTACTACAAAAAAAAAAGGGTACGGTCAGTAATTGCTAGACTAACAATTGAGGGGCCCAGGCTAGTACTCGAGAACATGATTAATATTCCACCACAAAAACTGGGGGAATATGAATTCAACTGAAAATCTGGAATTGAAAGCTGGTTTCAATAATGGCTAATCATGAAAATGATTAACCTTCACAAAAACCAAAATCAACTTCACAGATATAATTTAGGAAAGGAAATCTGCCATCCTTCTCTGATCTGGCCTTCATGTGACTTCATTGCAACATGGTTGACTCTTAACTGTCCTCAAATGGCCTAGCAAGCCACTCAGTTCGGGACCAGGGGGGATGGACCAATGGTTAGCAATGCCTACATACCTTGAAAGAGCGAAAAAGAATTAAACTGTGATCTATTTGAGGTTTTCTATTGGAAAGGAGAAAACAGAATGACAATACCCCATAAAAACCTTCACAACATCAAATTTGTCTGCAAAATTCTACCACAAACAGTATATACATTCTTACCGATTATTCTACAACTTCAGGCATATATAGAAATTCACAGTTCATCTTCGATGAGGATAAATCATTTACAACTCACATTTTACTGCATTCAAGACTCTGCTATCCAGAGGCTTTCTGCTGGGGTCACTTGTGGAGGATCGAATCCCTGTGCCACAACTATTTGCCAAAGTGTTGCTGCAAAGTTAATGGAAGGCATTATTATTCTTCATAGATCCACAGTGCCTTGACTGTGCAATGATGATGATTTAAACTCAAGATGACCACTACACAGTCAAGCACCTGTCACTCACCGATCAAAGAATGAGGCAAGCAGGCGACGGAGGAGGACCTTGTGCTTGACCCCTGCACAGAGGTGACAGTTCATCAGCTGACCTCGTGTGATATAAACTCCTGAACCTAGGAAGTAAAAGAGCAAAATTGTTAAATTTGTGCTTTACACACACTTGTGCTATATTGCTTTCAAAATGAATTATAAACAAACACTATAGTCTACCATTTAGTTGGTCATCCTTAACTGTTTCAGATAGCTACTCAAGAAAAAGTTAGAACTACCTTCGTTAAAAAGAATGATAAGCCAGAGGACATTTTAATAGCTGGAAAACTACGCATAATGGACTACACTCCAAATTTTTTCCAGGGCCAACTGATGCTCATATTGGATATAGTTGGAATTAAGGTAGCATACTCAGTTCAATTTAGACATCAGGTCAAGTCACAGGGATGATAACACCAGCAACAGAAGACACTTCTTTTTAAAATGGGAAATTGCATTTTTTGTACATTCTAATTCAAACCATTACATTAGGAGAATAAGATTTTCCATATTTTAGCTGTTTACCAGAACTTTCTCCAACATATAAGATGTCACAAGAGTTAATCCTAAATATTCAGTTTTATAATTTTATAGAAGCCTCTCTATCTGGACTTAAAAATTACTAATTTTATTTAAAAGTGAGCTTCATGTCTATGGAAAATTGCAAAATTCATTGTTGTTTAGGAATTAAAATAAACTATGGTATCTCTTTTTTGTAGGAAATGTTATTTACATTGTAATTTTTTGCCCGGCAGCAAATTCATCATGATCACTGGAGGGATTGGTGAGACATAGAAACTAAAGGTTTGAATAATTAGGGCACACAACAAGTCATGAATAAATTTAATTTACATAAATGCATTATGCATTAGAAACACTTCTATTTGTTCCACTGACGAGCTTTGTATCACCACTAGTTATGCAACATTGGGTGTAAAGGGCAGATTGGAAGAATGTAGCATATTTCCAATTTCTTTTGTAATAAAAATTACTACTCAATGGTAATTGATTTTCATGGACAGAGTCTATGCATATTTAAGTGGATCCATCAAAAAACAATGTACTGTATTTAGAAAATCTGTGGTCAGAATTTCTTGTTAAAAAGCTGGTTACATTCACAACGCTGCCTTTTAATTTTATTATCAATACCATAATGGTCCCATATCTCCTTACCTTGTACAACTTGAGTCTTTCAGAGCAAGATTTGAAGTACAAGAAGGGTACATGTATTTTAATCATAAACGACAATCCTTATTACCCTGTGGGTTTGGAGTCAATATGCTTGTAAAACTGCATTCAGAATTGCTCAATATTTTATCAACAATCCATTAAAAAAATTCAGCCTCAGGATGAGGGCATCACTGCCAGCACCAAAATCTGTTACCCTTAACTGCTGGTGAACCGACTTAAACTGTAGTTCATGTAGTGTTAATTCTCCCATTGGTGCTGTTCAGCAGGGAGTTTCAGAAAATTTTGAAACCGCAACAATAAATGAATAGTGATGATACATCTCCAAGGTCAGAATAGTGTCAGAATTGGAGAGAAACTTGACAATGGTGCATGGGAAGACCATCTGAAGCCTCTTAGGCTAGAGGGATCCTGGTTTGGAAAGTGGAGGAACACAGCAGGCCAGGCAACATCTCGGGCCTAGACCCTTCATCAGAAAAGGGGGAGGGGAAGGGGGTTCTGAAATAAATAGGGAGAGAGTGGGAGGC